ATAAACAAAATAAATGTTTATTAAGCAATTTTGATAGGAAATTGCTTAATTTTAGAAATGTTTTTGCTCTTTTTTCTCTCTAAAATTGTTGTTGTTGTTTTTTTTTTATCATTCATCTTAGCAGTGGGATTTACGTGAAAAGTGAAACAAATTAAGTTTGAGTGAAAATGTACAATTTTTGCACTCTCTGGTCAACTGACTCAGTGAATCAAATGACTCAAAAAATCCGATTCACTTTGGTGAGTGACTCATTAACACTCGATTCAGTAAAACGAATCAAATTTACCATCACTACTATTCATTCACTTCCACATTCACACACTGGTGGAGGCAAGCTACAGTTGTAGCCACAGCTGCCCTTTTGCACAACATTCAAATTTGTTACACCTTTAAATATCAGGCAAATCAAATGTTATATTTACCTTCCTTTTCTATATATGGACCATCAGGACTCAATTCACTGGTTATTCGTTGATGAACCAAACTTGTGACTGGACTCTCTGCTGAAGTGGTCATCATGATGGTGACATAGTGTGCACTGAACTGCAGCCATAATGCAGTTTTCTTTCCCACAGTCAGTTCTCAGTCTCATCGGTACAACACCAAGGTTCCCAACACATGACAAGTAATAGTAAACTATAACCGCTGGATTATTATTTGTTGGTCCACATTCTAGACACAAAACCTGAAAACCCATCAATGCACCCTGAAATGGCCAAACCGAATGGTTTCAGCTTGTCATAACCATCAGCATGCCACATGTAGTTGGGTCCCAGCAAATGATAGGTTCTCCTAATGAATCTTCTGCGTGTTCTCACCTGGCATCCATGAGGATTAAGCTCCTGGAGTATTTTCATCACATCATCCCTCTTTACTTTAAGATGATGCTTTTGTTTAAGTACCTGCCACATTGTTCGATACCCAAACAATCACCCAGGTCCTTGAAGCTTCGCTCTGATTGCGTTAATGGTCGTTGTTCTAGAGTGAAAATGTTTTCTTCGGTTAAGTCCAGCATCATTGAGTTTACTTTTAAGACTCCTTAAACTCATCTTTACACCATGCAAACTTAACATCATGTCCATGATAACACTATATGAGTGACCTTCGTTGAAAAATTGAATGCAGTACTGTAGGTTGTCTGATCCTTCAGCCTGGTCTGTGTCCCGCAAAAGCTCCAGAGACCGTCCACAGGAAGCACAAAAAGGAGTGAATAGGCTGAAGCTAACGCCACAAAACGGGCAAAACATTTTCCAGTTCTCTATGTAGTGCAGCGAGCACCGTCAGGGTAATAAGGAAGCGCTGTGAGGAGTTAGTTTCTCGACGTTTGTTGACATCCCACGTTTAGCTGACTATAAATCACTTTTCTGTGCTACAAATATGGAGTAAACCTAATCGTTGAGTCACTTCCGGTATTTCAGACAATCCCTTTCCGTCAAGAGCCACTTATTTTGTTGCAGACTTGTTAATTTGTTGCGGACTTGTGTTTTCAGTGTTTTCTGAAATGTTATTTTGTTGTCAATTTTTTATTTGTTTTTTTTAATGTAAAAGTGTTTTCAGAAATGTTATTTTGTTGTTGATGTTGTAAATGTGATTTGCACTTCCCAGCCACTGTAAACAACTGAAAAGAACACAACATTAATAACAATCGCACTCTCCGAAGTAAAAATTTTACACACACAAATTGTTAAAGACAAATTTGAATTAATTAATACTAACATTTTTAAAGGTGAGGCTCACATATAAAACAATGAAACTCTTTATTAGATTAAAAAGGGGATAGACCCTATTTTCTGTACCAATTTGGTGACAGATCATGACATGAAATAACACTATTTATGTATTTAGAGTTGAAAGTCCGTGTTGCTCGGCGACAGCCCCAAAACATCACTGCTCTCGAGAAGATCTGCATGGAGGAATGGGCCAAAATACCAGCTACTGTGTGTGCAAACCTGGTAAAGACCTATAGTAAACGTTTGACCTCTGTTATTGCCAACAAAGGTTATGTTACAAAGTATTGAGTTGTATTTTTGTTATTGACCAAATACTTATTTTCCACCCTGATTTACGAATAAATTCTTTACAAATCCTACCATGTGGATTCATGGATTTTTTTTTTCACATTCTGTCTCTCACAGTTGAAGTGTACCTCTGGTGCAAATTACTGACCTCTGTCATCATTTTAGGTGGGGGAACTTGCACAATCGGTGGCTGACTAAATACTTTTTTGCCCCACTGTAGATGCTGACAAGCTGACACAGTAACATGGAAGAGGGAAATAAGAACAATAATAATAATAAAGATAAAAGATGAAGTAACAAGTTTTTAGTTTCTTGTTTATTCTAGATGATCATCCAGATATCTGTGACATGTGATGACAAACACCATAATGGAAGGCCTTTCTCATCACATGCTTAAACTCATCATATATTTTTGCATACGCTGAGCAGGCAGTCAGACATGCTGTAACTGTGGGGTAGAAAACTGCATGAACACCATACAGCAGGGGTCTCAAACTCCAGTCCTCGAGGGCAACTTTTCCATGTGTCCCTGTTACAACACACCTAGTAGGTCATTAGCAAGACTATAGAACTTGACTGCATGCTGCGTTGGCAATTTAGCCATTTGAGTCATGTTACAGCAGCTCATGAGTGAATGAACATGGTGCAATAAAAGTATTTTTAGAAGTATATGTTTCCAAATACATACATTTACTTAAATTTACTTGAGTAGGGTCAGCATGCAGTCAAGTTCTATACTCTTGCTAATGACCTACTGACCTATTGTATTCAGGTGTGTTGCACCAGGGACACATGGAAAAGTTGCATGACACCGGCCCTGGAGGACTGGAGTTTGAGACCCCTGTCATACGGAATATGACAGGTGTGGTTGAACTGCGTGAAGACTCTGAAGTTTCTCTTTTCTTCTGGCAGGACAGGAATGTGGCCTTGTCTTGTGAGCCACCGTAAGGATGTACTTGGAGTAGAACTGGACTGTCACCGTCACTCTTCACCTTTTCAAAGACAAAGCAGTCATTTAGATAAAATATTAGATATTGTTTACCTGTAAATGCACAAAGACAATTTAGAAATTAATTCTTGCCTCAGAGTCTCTGGAATCTAAAAAAGCAAAATATGATGATATTCAGCAACATAAATTAGTGTTTTAAGATTAAGATTTAAGATTACAATGAATTTGTGATTGTTTCAAAGCATACTGTCGTGAGAGAAGGCACTGAACACAGACTATTTGCTGGGGAGGTTGCATAGCTGTGTAGGTTGGCGAAAGGAGCCGGTAGCTGGCCGGGGCATCACGATGGTTGCTAGTAGTCTGTAATAGAATAGAAAATAATGGGAGTAAATATTTCTAGTCCAACATCATCAGATAACCATCAAACTATCAAAATAAAATTAAACATTCAAATAAAATTAAACACCAATAATCTCCAAAAGTTGATTCTGTTCATCTGGAAAACGCTACGTCCAGATAAACAGAATGAACCTTTGGAGATTTACTTACCTGGATGATTGAGCATGCATCAAGACGTTTAAATGCCAATAAATTGTTAAAATTGAAAAGCATGTGTCTCTTTGATTCAAATGTGATTATTTGTAAATATGTCGCTGATATTAAAAACAGTTTTAAATGTTTTAATTCATGTTCAGACACAACGAGAACAACCATACTCGAAAGGGCAGGTCCCTGTTTCCTATTACGTCCTCAAATCACGTTGTCGCTGGGGGCTTTCAAATACGTCCGTTGTACTGACTTAAAGTCGCACCGGTGCGGTGACTTTTCATCAGTATCACTTTAGCTGACAAAATGAGTGGACGCGGAAAAGGGGGAAAGGGACTCGGGAAAGGAGGCGCTAAACGGCACCGCAAAGTTCTCCGTGATAATATCCAAGGCATTACTAAGCCCGCCATTCGTCGTCTAGCCCGTCGCGGTGGTGTGAAGCGTATCTCCGGCCTGATTTACGAGGAGACCCGTGGTGTACTTAAGGTGTTTCTGGAGAACGTAATCCGCGATGCAGTCACCTACACCGAGCACGCCAAGAGAAAGACTGTGACCGCAATGGATGTGGTGTATGCTCTTAAAAGGCAGGGCCGTACTCTATACGGTTTCGGAGGTTAACGCTACTGTCTTGATTCCAACACAACAGCTCTTTTAAGAGCCACATAACTCGTCTTAAGAAATAAGTGTTCCAACTTTACAATTAGTGGCTTGGGTACACCGAATTATGTGAAACTGTTAAGAGTGCTAATGAGACTCTTAAACATTGCAACGTGATTGTACATAGAACTTATGGGCCGTTGAAACGGCCGTTGTGGCTGTAAGTAACTCGTTGGGCTGGCTTCGTGCCCCAAACAAAAATGGCGACGCCGCTGATGTGAAGTAAACAATGTTAACTTTTTTTCCACCTAGCTTTCCAATATCCACCTTTCCTAACCTTAAAATGACTGTCTTGCTCATTTCTCAATGAAACTCTATTTCCCTGTAAAAACCTAACATTAGTTGCCTTAGGACATAACTACTTTTTTTTTAAACAAAATGGATGCCATAACGCGCTGTGACGTAGTCTCTAGAAATGGCTTCTAATCCGGTGGCTCAGAGCTGCGCTGTGTTTGTGATTTAAGGTGAACATTTTCTATTTAGAGTTATATCAGAAAAGCAAGTTTAAAAAAAAAAAAAAAAACCTTCACGGACACATGAGTTTTTTTAATCTCCTGTGAAACGTTCTCTAAAATGACAAACTTTCGATGTTTCTAATTTAACTATTTTTCTTTCACCACAGAGCCAAGTGAGAGGTAGAACAGCATTTTCCCGTGCTCTCTTACGAACAATTTGTAACAAGTTTTCATAATCAGGGACTATTGACTTGTGAAATTAGCTCTTCAGATGTAGTTGTGTGGCTCTTAAAAGAGCCGTTGTTGTGTATAAAGTAGTCTCAGATCAGCTTATGCCCTCTCTCCGCGGATGCGGCGGGCTAACTGGATATCTTTGGGCATGATAGTGACCCTCTTGGCGTGAATGGCGCATAGGTTGGTGTCCTCGAATAAACCGACCAGGTACGCCTCGCTTGCCTCCTGCAAAGCCATAACAGCAGAGCTCTGGAAGCGCAGGTCTGTTTTAAAGTCCTGAGCGATCTCCCGGACCAGGCGCTGGAAGGGTAGCTTGCGGATCAACAACTCAGTAGATTTTTGGTAACGGCGGATCTCCCTCAAAGCCACGGTTCCGGGCCTGTAGCGGTGAGGCTTCTTCACGCCACCGGTGGCCGGGGCACTCTTACGGGCAGCCTTTGTAGCTAGCTGCTTTCTGGGAGCCTTTCCTCCGGTGGATTTACGTGCTGTCTGCTTCGTTCTAGCCATGTTTAGTAACTATCGGCTTCCTTTCTTCAGTGCCGTCACCAGTCTTATAAAGCCAGCGCCGGCGTGTGGGCAGCGCTAATTGGTCCAATCTGTGCGCGTGATCAACGGCTCGTCTGTTGAAGCGGGAAAATCAAAAGTCCTGATAAGGAAGTGAAGCCATAGCGCAGTGATTCAAACCAGAGCTGAATGAAACACACCCCAAAACGCAGAGCTTAATGGAAAACACAACTTTTATCAAATCATTTAAAAGATAAAGCCAATTAGACTGAATGTAGACTGGTGTATTGGTATACAATATACACAAAATAATAGTAGTTTTATCATTCTTAATATGTATGCTCCCTCTTGTCAAAATGAGCAAGAATACCTTAGTAGGCTGGCCTTTATTAATACATTTATTCAAGACAACGATACTTACAGCATATGTTTTGGGTGATTTTAATGCTGATCTCACAGACAGCAGTTCTTGGTTTGCTAACCACTTAACCCACTTTTGTGAAGTTAACAATCTTATCCTGTCTACCCAAATGTTACTGCCTGCAGAGAGCTATACATACATAAGTGAAGCCTGGCATAGTACATCATGGCTGGACCGCTGTATCTGTACAGCTGATGGACATGCGGCTTTAGCAAACATGACTATTAGGTATGAGGTAACTCTGTCAGGCCATATACCTTTTGGTTTTACTGTGAATGTGGAACAAATGCCAGCAACAACTGGAAATAATATTGCTAATATTGCTACCAGTGTAAAATTAGACTGGTCAGCATTTGGTGAAGATGATTTCTTAGCTTATCATAGTAATACCGATATACATCTGAACAACATTTCTTTGCCCAAAGAAGCTATTTTGTGCAAGGATGTCAACTGTAAGAATGCTGTGCATAAACATTTACTCTGCTCCATGTATGATGATATAGTGACTGCTCTGTATGAAAGTGGTACACTGCTTGATAAACAATATAAGCATAAGAAACCTAACATCAGACCTGGCTGGAAAGAACATGTATCCATGTACCATGATGAAGCTCGCATAGCTTATAAATGTTGGGCCATGGCTAGAAGACCTAAACAAGGCCCAGAAAAAATGTGCTAATGCCAGATATAAGTACGCTGTTCGCTTTATAACTAAAAATGAGCAAATGCTGACAGCAGATTCTTTGGCCAGGAAAATGTTGTGTAATAATATGACAGATTTTTGAAAAGAGCTCTTAATGACTGTAAACCATTTCTACCATCAACTGTTGAAGGGGTTTCTGGGGCAGATAACATTGCAGCATTATGGAGACAGCATTACAGTGCATTGTTTAACTGTATAAAAAGTGAACCATATGAGGACAATTTTGACATGAGTAATGACACAATAAGCGTAAGGACATATGAAGTAAATGGAGCCATTCATAGGTTATCTGATAATAAAGCTTCTGGTTTGGATCACATCACTGCAGAACATTTAAAACATGCTAGTTTAAGGCTAGCTCCTCTTCTAGCACTCTGTTTCACTGGGTTTATGATTCATGGCATATTACCAGACTCAATGCTGTGTATTTTACTGGTACCAGTTATGAAGGACAAAGCTGCAAATGTGAGCTGTTTGGATAATTATAGGCCGATTGCACTAGCCAGTATTTTATCTAAGGTGTTAGAAAGAATCTTGTTTGACAGAGTTAGTGTGTTCTGGTTCTGGATTTCTGTGAACCACAGAAGCCTTTTTGATAAACTGAAGAGACGGGGAGTTCCTCAGTACATCGTGAGGATTCTTTCTTACTGGTACGCTCATCAGAACATGCAGGTTAAATGGGGAAGCAGTATTTCTGCCCCCTTTGGTGTCAGCAATGGTGTTAGACAGGGTGGGATTTTGTCTCCAATTTTATTTAATCTATATGTTGATGATTTGTCCATACAGCTGAGAGCCTGTAACACTGGGTGTATATTAGGTAAAACATTGATAAATCATCTTATGTATGCAGATGACCTGGTTGTTTTTAGTCCAAGCAGTGCTGGGTTACAGGATCTTCTCAATGTCTGTACTGAATATGGTGTGCAATATGATATAAAGTACAATGCTGTTAAAAGTGCTGTTTTGATATGTAGAACCAAGCAGGATAAACACCTACATTTTCCTTTGTTTAAACTGCCCCAAAAACCTCTTGAAGTTTATAAAAAGATGAAATACCTCGGCCACTTTATTACTGAGCAAATGAATGATGATGATGACAACGGTGTAAGCTCTATGTGCAGGCAAATACTATCACACGCAAATTCAGCTTTTGTTCACTTCCAGTTAAAGTGGCTTTGTTTAAAGCGTATTGCACACTTCTATATACTGCCCCCCGTTGTGGTCATCCTACAAACAATGTAGCATGCAGAAGCTGCATGTTGCATATAATGATGCGATGAGAATCCTTTGCAGGATACCTAGAAGGGGTGGTGCCAGCCAGATGTTTGTAGCTGTGGGTGTTTGGACTTTTAAAGCACTTTTAAGAAAGTTAATGTTCAATTTTAGAGAATGACTGGATGGTTCGAGTAACAGT